CCGTCGTTGCCAGTGATGGCGAGAGTATTAGTGCGACCATAGTACCCCCATTATTTTAAACTTTTAGTGTTACATTATATAACTTCACCCATTCCGGCTCTTCCTCATCAGACCGGCAGACCAGGTGCTTTTACCGTATTACTAGACCCATAGGAGCCTTGGGGAGTGCAGCTACGTCGGGCAGGCCGGTTGCTAAATGACGACAACGATGCATAAAAACTCTGGAAGCGCAGAGGTTGGGTCTGAAGTCGTAGGTGGCACCCAAAGCTGCCTGAGCCGGAGCTGTCGACATTGTGGACAGAGGTGACCACGGCTTAGAAAAACAACTGTCCGAGGCGTGATTTGCCGGCTGCATTTGAAGTCAGCTGACTGGGCAAAACGTGACGATCGCAGACACGGACAGCAGTGGTCAATTGGCAGTCGATACTGACCATTTACAAAACGGGAAAAGCGGCCGGCCTCAATTTAAAGTTTCATAACAAGGAGCCTACGCTGAATCTACAAGTTTTTGACGATGGAGAACCAACACTGCTCTTTAGAAAGTCAGGCATTCAATAAACCTATCTCGTTGAACGTTGCTTCCTCTTTTTGCCTTGGAGTTCGCGTTAAGCGTCATCGTAAAAGGTTACACTGCGACAGTTAGTCAGTCAAAAAATTATGTCCAATAGACAACGGGAAGCAAGCCAAAAATGACCACTGTGGTCTCTCTCTCTCGTAGTCGTTGGTAAACTTTTCGTGCAATACGTGATGAAAGGAATAAAATGAATCTGCTATTAATAAGTGTTAGGCCTTTCAATTCGAGCCATTAATTTTTCCACTAGGCCAAACGAGTGAGTCATAATTTTCTAGAAATTGCTTTACATTCAGTTGTTACGCCAGAGCAGTGGTCTGAAATGGCTCTCTTATCCCATACTCGGTGTACGCGGCTGAAATTTTTTTACGAACGCACTGCCTACCTGCGAAATAAACAGCAAAGTGAGTAGTAAGACCTCTACGCGTAATGGTTCTGTTCGCGATGTGAATGGTGGTTTTATTGCTGACAACTCGGTCAGGGTCAATCGTTGACGTGACAAATTCGAGCTCCTCAATATGGGTGACCAGCCCACCACATGATCGCTCTTCGCAGTGGAATCTTATCCCTCTCCGGCCTATACAGAGTCATGCCACTTCTCTTCTGAGATAGTAGTCACCAACACAATACAGAGGCTGCGCAACAATAAGGCGCCTGCAAAGGACGGTATTCCCGCTGAAATCTGCAAGTCTTATGTCGACATTCTTGCGCCCCGGTTCCATGAAGTGATTAAACAAGAGTGGAGAGATGAGATGGTTCTAATGACTGCGGCTCGGGCATGCTTCTGCATGCCTTCAAAAAGGGAGATAGGACAAAGTGCAAAAATTACCGTGGAATAAGCCTCATCGACTTTGCTGCGAAGATCTTCACAGTTGACTTCGAAGTACTCCAGTTTGTGCATCATTCCAGGACGAGACCCAATTAAGCCGCATTCCGAGCTGGATGTGGAGACGCGGACCAGATATTCACACTAAGGCACATTCTGGAATTTCGTCATAGCGACCAGCAACCGACGGCCGGCTGCTTTGTTTCATCATGAGTCCCTGTGGCGAATGATGGAATAAGGTGTGCCGGCAGAAATCATCGCCATGGACGAGGCCTACTACTACTCGGGAACTGCGCGGATTCTGGTCCGTAGCAATCTCACCCAACCGTCTGATATTCGGTCTGGCGTTCGGCAAGGATGTCTGTCTCCTTTCGTCCATTCTGTCCAACTAGGCCATTGACTAGATTATCCTCCTCTACAGTCGTGAATGCTGGGCTGACGCGTGGAAGTTAAGGCGAAACTGGGTGTATTTGGCCACCGCTGCCTGAGCACCATCCTCTAGTGAAGTGCACCGATATCGTCTTATTAGCGGAAAACTGATTTTAGCCATTTCTCTACATTTACAGGAGTAAGTTAGTACTTTTGCATTTGGACTCTTTCATTTCAATGCACCTACTGAGCCGACGAATTAATTGACCTAGCAAATTTCTTAAAACCAACCACATTCAGTAATCCAGCTGCTCCTAGATATGACAGCTAATACACCTGCCAGTCAAGAGATCTCCATGAAGGCGGAGACGCACTTGTGCGTTTCCTGATTAACAAAACAGCCTCCCTCTATAAAGACTTGCATACTGATAGAGATGATTGTCAAGGAGCAAAACCTTTGGAATACGCAACACTCACTAGTAAAACCAAGTTTTTCTGGTCGATTTTTGGCATTTATTTTCCCTTTAAATTCTGCGGTCATGGCGTGAAGCTAAGGCGGCTACAAGGTCACAAGGCCTGTTTTCTACTGACATCACATGTCGTAATGCAGTGAAAGCCAGCGGTGATCAACGACCCTGTCGGACAAGCGTCCACTTCTTGGTTTATGTCGATTGCTGACGGAATGTTTGATGGGTTTGAGTGAACAAAGCAGAAGATGTGGAGAAGTGGTGTAATAATCACCAAGCTGATGTTTCCACAACCTATACGTGCATTTTGCCTATTTTTGTATGTTGCCTGCGATAAGCTGGAAGGCGTATTGGGGCACGAAATGGTCGTTAGTGTTTATTCACAAGGAAACTGCGTTCACTGATCTAGGAAGACTTATGCCGAAGAAGGTGCACGAACTTTGAACAACACCTTCCAAAAGAATTCAAAAGCTTAAAATTGGAAAAAATTGACTTCTTATATCAGAAACTGCAAAAAGAACGCTGGAGGATGCACTGGTCAGTCGAACCCCTAGCATTTGCGTTATTCAGTAGCACAAAATTGGCGAAACAGGTGTCTAGACTTTTCGCTAGTACCTGTGCTACATACACGGTAAATCAATCAGCATTGACCTAGCTTTTTGGCAGGGTGGCATACGGAAAGGTTGTTGAAAAGAAAGCCTTATTCAGCCAACACTTCGAACTAACACTCGAATCCATCATCAGAGACAGAAGCAGATAGGGATAGTGTTTCATAAGTGTTGCAGTGTTCGTAGGATGCATTTGTTCCGGGAAATCGCCACCTCGATTCTATCGGCAAATTGTTTAGACCAGACGCACTGCGATCGTTTCGACGATAGGAAACCTTCGCCCTATGTATGCGCATATTCCGTTTTAGCACTTGTCTCGACACAACCGAAGTTTGTTTTGCGCAAGCCCCCGGTTAACACGGACGTGGTGAGACTAGGAGTACTCCGACATGACAGAAAAATGACCCGCGTGCTTCTGTAAGACTGTCACGCGAGGCTTCGCAAGTGCCGTCAGTGGACTTGTCAAGAGAAGACTCAATGCTGAGTTCGCAGGACAGGACAGTAAAAAATAATTAAACAGCGGGTGACTGAACGAACTCGCGAAGGATGTGATACGCGACGGAGCACTGGGAAACAAATTCCGAAGGCTGTCTGATTTGGTGTCGTCCAAGAACGACAAACTGGTACAGAGCCTGCCGCCAAAGGAGTCGACGAAGGAATAGATGCACCTTTTGCGACATGAATCCCCATTTAACCCGGCTGATGGAAAACCTATCAACATGATGACATCGGTGAAACCAATCCGCTGACGGGGGTAACGGAGGAGACTAAAGGTGTCATCGGTCACCGAGTGTGGTCCCTCCTCATGGTTCACAGGCCGCGCAAAGTACTCCTAAAGGTCGATGGTATGGGGTCCTAAGGATGACAAGGACATCGTTATCGTGCCCACGGACAAGGGGCGTTTTACTGTTCCACCCGCAACCAAACCCGTGAAAACGTTGACACGCGAAATTGACGCGACGTTTTTGTCACTGGAGGACTCAGGTGCAACGATCGGTGTCGCTGGTATTCTAACACTACAAACCAAAACTTTAGGCTTAGATTGCGGATGATACCTTTGTCCTCATTGAACGGGATTAGCTGTTGACATCTAAGGAGCATCTTAACACAGTCTTCTCAGATATACAATTTACGATAAAGAAAACAACGAGCTAGTCCTTCCTGATGTCTTCGTTTATCGCAAATATCGTGGTGGCCTAAAAACCAGCGTTTAGGCAGAGAACGAATGCAACGTAAGTAGCCGATAAAAGCGAACAGGAGAGTTCCAGGAAGCAGTTCTGAAGAAGATGCAATCACTGGAACAAGTTTATTGGCCCGACGTTCCGGATTCTCACTCGAACCCAACATCAGAGACAGTCGCAGATGTCTGTGATGATGGGTTCCAGTAAGGATCCGGGACGTCGGGCCGGTAAACTTCTTGTTCCGGTGCTTGCATCTTCTTCTTCTGAGAAAGGTAAGAATGAGTTTCAACAGCAATCACCCAACTAATCACAGTTAAGCACGGGCGCTATACCGACGAGTCAGGACGCACTGCAGTGAAGCGGAAGACATGGTTACTGAATTGCATCTTCGACAGGTGCTTAGAGCGAATGGCTTCATGTGCAAACGAGACGAGAACAAATCCGGTTGGCTTCAAATTTTGGCAAACGCTAGCGTGCGTCAAGGACGTCTCGGAGGTCGTCGGTCGTCGTCTTACATCCCTTTGAATTAGAGTTGGAGGCAACCATCAGGCACCAGGTCATCAAGCGAAAAGATCCACTGACACGACAAGAAACGTCTGGAATCGTTTACCAGATCTGGTGCATTTGTGGGCAAAGTAAATATGTCGGAGAAACTATACCACTACTACGACGCGGATGGCCGAGTACGCAGCAGCGATGAGGAGGAACGACTCCAGCTCAAAAGTGGTAGCTCATTCGACGGGA